AAAACAAACAAACAAGGGCCCATTATACAATCTAGGGCCGGCTAACGCAAGCAATCAGCTTGTTTTGGCCTTTTGGGCCTCCAAACATTGTGGGCACCTGGGACTAAGAGATACTTATTATTGTTCATCGAAGGGGCCATTACGATAAGTGGATCAAACAATGAACAAAGTACCTCCGCAGGTTATTGCTCTCAACTTTTGTCCCCACTGGCCACTCCCCATCCCATATTGGAAATTTGGAATTGCATAACGAGAAATGGTTGCAAATTGCAATTGCATTCTCCCTTTTGGGCCCAAGTGTATAACAGTTTTCTCTTGTATGATCTAAGGCAAGTTTTTTGGGGGCCCAAGTGTATCTGGCCTGAATCACTATGTTCGATCTACGATGCAAATGTGTAATACAACATTACCAGATACATTGTCACATTCTCATCTGCCACCGCCACTTGTCAGATATTTTCATGTGTGGACTTGAAGGGTGGGATGGTTTTAATGGTCAGACTTCAGAGAGCCACAAGAATATATAATATCTTGGGTGTTTCTCATGGTATAGAACTTGCCATCTAGGCAAAAGAAATAAGCCTCCAAAATGATATGCCATCAAGGTATCAACCAATAAGAAGAGATAGATAGATCTCATAAGATAAAAGGACCCTACCATCAGTAGCCATTTCTACTGCTATATATAAGTACAGACTTAACAAGAGCCACAAACATATAAGCTAGACGTAGTACTTGAGACTGCTGAGCATATTCATTCTTTTCTACCCACAATATAATGGCTGCCTCAACAATGGCTCTATCTTCTCCTTCTTTTGCTGGGCAAGCAGTAAAGCTCTCTCCATCAACATCCGAGCTTATAGGCGAAGGACGGGTTACCATGAGAAAAACTGCTTCAAAGCCAAAGACAGTCTCATCTAGCCCATGGTATGGTCCTGATAGAGTCAAGTACTTGGGACCATTCTCTGGTGAGGCACCATCTTACCTTACTGGTGAGTTCCCTGGTGACTACGGTTGGGACACTGCCGGGCTTTCAGCTGACCCCGAGACCTTTGCTAAGAACCGTGAACTCGAAGTCATTCACAGCAGATGGGCTATGCTAGGGGCTCTTGGTTGTGTATTCCCTGAACTACTTTCTCGCAATGGTGTCAAGTTTGGAGAAGCAGTATGGTTCAAGGCTGGTGCACAAATATTCAGTGAGGGTGGATTGGATTACTTGGGTAACCCTAGTTTGGTACATGCTCAGAGCATTCTAGCCATCTGGGCTACACAAGTTATCTTGATGGGTGCTGTAGAGGGCTACCGTGTTGCAGGTGGACCACTAGGCGAGATAGTAGACCCATTGTACCCTGGTGGAAGCTTCGACCCCCTTGGACTAGCCGAGGACCCAGAGGCATTTGCTGAACTGAAAGTCAAAGAGCTTAAGAACGGGAGATTAGCTATGTTCTCCATGTTTGGATTCTTTGTTCAAGCAATTGTAACTGGAAAAGGACCTTTGGAGAATCTTGCTGACCACCTTGCAGACCCAGTTAACAACAATGCTTGGGCATTCGCCACCAACTTTGTCCCTGGCAAATGATCTATATTCTATTCCAAGTTTTTTCTACTGTGTGTTGTACATTTTTATGACCAATTGAATGAAATGTGAAATTTTTCCAAGGAATAGCCATGGTTATGGTGAATTTATTAAAGAGGAATTACTCATATATTAAATTTAAAATGTGATTTCTGACCATAATGTAAGAGTTCAAAAGAAGAGGGAGGTACATGAGTCTGATCCTTATTTTTGAGTTCCAGAGAACAACAGAGGCTGAACAAAAAATCCAATTTCTTCTCAATGTATGGAAGAAGTTCTGTCAAAACTCTAAAGTAAAACAATGGTGTAAAACCCTATGGCTAAGGCACCCAAATCCTGGATGTATATGCTAATATTCATGTCCAATATATCAACGGTAGAAAATATATTATGAAAAACATCAAGCATGCTTAGAATATTTATGTGATGCATACTCAATAATATTCAGAGTCCAGGAAATTTTTTTTTTATGAGTTTACACTTTACATCGATCAGAGGGGTAAGCCCATTCGTGTTGTAAGGAAGGAAGTCATAGACACTGGTGATGATAAGTTAACTTGCAGGCATGCTAAACTTTTAGTTTGGATTCAAATGCACAAGGATGAAGAACATTATAAATAATGCCGGGTCCTGTATTACCTGTGCAACTATAAACTATTGTTATCTTTTACGAGTAGGCAAGTTGCACACTCACATAATAATGAGTACAGAGTACTACTTGCCAATATTCCTACGTAGAATCATATCCCTCTGTAATCACAGGAATACGTATTGGGGGATTGAGGGTTCTAGAATAGGTAGTGGAGTTAGTTACTTCCCCATAGTTTAAGACATTAAGTGGACTAATAAAATTTAGATATATAGTTCTAGCATCCAAATAAAGCATAGTGTGGTTATAGCTCAATAGGGACACAAACCTAATTTAAATTGACTTGACATTGGAAACTTATCAATTGGACAGGTTGGCAGGCATGAGCTGATCAGGCAATCTGATAGGATCTTGCAAGTAGGGGTTTATGGGGAATAGCTCACATTGCCCATGATGCGCGATCAACTGATCTACAAGCACTAGGGCTACCATGGCTTCCACTGTTGGCACCGCTGCACAACAAAAAAATTCAGATGTGAACCACAACTTACAATAAATATATATTTTTCCTTTATAACACCCTAAAAAACAAAGCAAAAGTGATCCAGAAAAAACATAAATAAGAAAAATAAGAGGAGGATAAAATGGTGCTATCAATAGAGGTCAACTATGATAGATATATACCACGAGGTACAATGCAAGGATCATGCCGACCGTGAGTAGTGAGTTCTATCTCCTTCCGGTCTCTGGTTACTGTGAATTGTTTCTTCTGAAACATCAACCAATCATAAAACTTCATGTTAGAATTGAACAAGCATTGAAACACAAGAATTATTGTTGTGTTTTTACATCTCAGTGGTGTTACATATTTCCTGGAGACAATAGAAACTTTTCTTGTGTCTATTCTAAAATTGAATCATATTTTAGCAGTCAGAAAGGTCAGAAACCTAAGATCAAACTTACTCCTATTGTAGCGGTTGGTTTAAAAGCTACTCTCATGTTTATGATTTCTCCATTCGATATGCCACCCTGCAGATCACCATAATTATTAACACAAGGGAAGCAAAAACAATTTAAATTGTGTATCTTAGCAGGAAACAGAAGGCAATGAATAGAAAAATATGAAAATGAAAAAGACTTTACCTGTATTCCACCAGATCGGTTAGTT